CCCCCCCCCCCCCCCCCCCAAAAGGTCGCCTATGTTTCGGATTATCTCGTGCACGAAGATCCTGGAATGTTGTCTTACGATACTGGTGCTGGGTTGGGAAGTTTTGTAATTTTCGACGCTTCTGAAATGTTAGAGTTTTTGGATTTTTCGAGCTATTGGAGATTAGGTGGTCTTGGAAACTCTGGAAGTCTCCTAACCGTTTGGGGCGAGATTTGTAGAGGTTTTAACAATTTCGGAAACCCGAGCGAATACCTTGTCGTTGCAGCTGTTGCAGCCGTGTCTTGTCCAGTTCCTACACATTATGAGTACTACCCACCCCAGCAACATTTAAAAGCTTTTCTGCGGTTTACATGGCAAATTACATACGGCATTGAGCGAAGCCTGCAGTATCCAAATCATGTTAAGAAACGCCTAGTTTTTCAGCGCTGGTATATGTTCACGACTATCTCAGTGAACAGTATTTGCTTGTTTATTTCTAACTAGCATATGAGCAACATTCAGCCAATGCATAAACACAGTCTTTTGTGTAGCAGTGGAAGTCGTTGTCACATATCTTCAAATTGATGTAACCAATAATCTTTCAATTGCAATAGCTACAACAAGATATAATGTTTCAGCACGAACATGCTTCTTCACCATATATTACCTGTGTAACACTTGACTATATCTCAAGCGTTACTTCAGCAACAGTTGCTCGAGACCTGCGCTGAATTTCGAGACGCCGTTGGTGTGATTCAGAAGGAGACGAGAAAAAAGAAGAAAAGCGAAACGGTATTCAATGATGCTGCACTCACAGCCTTTACTGGCTGTAGCTGCTCATTTGTAACTGAATCTTACTGTTTTGAGTAGTACATTCACGTTTGAATGCGTATCAAGTGGCTCAAATATTGAACGAGACTCAAGCAGCTACTAGTGTAAACATGCTTCCCCCTTAGAATGACAGATAAGCTACATCAGATGTTCGTGTATTGATATACCTCAGTACTAAAGCCTTCATGAGGTATCGGGCGAAGGTTCGAATATGGACAAACTTTTGACATATGTGCTCATTGCACGGGTCTACTAAGAGAATACCGGTGATGATGCAAATTGTGATGAAGGTCTTCGGGAAATACTGATAACGATACAGATAATATTGACGGTCGTGACAGATAGATATGCTTGCAGAAAAAGCTATTATATATATACATATGTGTATATATATGTATATTATATATATATATATATAAAAGGACTCTTGAAGCGGAAACCATTACCAGCCATTCAGACTCCTATATATACTATCCCACCTAGTATTGACTACAAAACTTCGGTTTGGAAGCTTGCTTTGGGTCCTATGTACACCGACCAATACTGGAAAGTTAGCCGGCCATCTCTGTGCAAGCAGCAGGCGAGTTCCAACAACCCGCTGAAAAAATTCGGTTCTTCCCCGCACTCCTCTGGAGCACAGGTCCGTGCAAATTGAACTGAACTGAATGATGCCCGAGTTTGCTCGGGCCTACAGTATCTTTGGTTCCGGTTGCCCATATTACAAACTCGAGCCTTGACGCCCGGGTGGCTGCTCATGGCGTTAAGACATGGTCAGAGCAGCCTGCCGACGCTCAGCTTCCTCGTAGCGCAACCGGATTCTCTCCAGCTTACCTGGCCGAAGAGAAGCACATGAAAAAGGCAAGGTCCGGCAAGGTGTTTGCAAAGCTCAGGTAAGTAGGGGGTCCGGGTCACCGGGTCCCTTTTTCAGGGATCCCTCTACTAAGGATGCTTCTCCTTAGCGTCCCTGATTTCCGAATCTCCCAGAGTCTATCCGTGATCCGATGCTTACTCCAACCCACTCCAACCCACTACCTTTCTCTGCTTCTATGAGCTGCTGTGCGTGCATCTAGCTATCTGTCAATCGGTCTTTCTCTCCATCGTGTGTGTGTGTGTGTGCATGTGTGGGTGTGTGCTTTCGAGCGAGCTTGCAAGCGAGACAACGTGCGAGCTTGCACACACGCAGGATTCAGAATCAGCAGGCCTGCGGGAGTGCGAGCAAGCACATGCGCTTGCGCGACGACCGTTCGCGCGTGCAGAACGTTGGGTCTTTCTCAAAATCTCCAGAACACGCATAAGGATCCTTACTTCCAGCGAGGTCAGAGCCCTGCCTTGAATCGGACGTCGCCTCGGCAAAGACGGTGCCGCACGGTTGAGTCCAGATAGCATGTACTCCGATGACTCTAGTGACCCTAGTGTAGATATTCATGCTGCATGTTGGTCAACCCGCATCTTCAGCATGATCAAGACTGTTAAATGCCCGTACAATCACTACTTCACTGTAAAGCAGTAGAAGACTTGCTAGTCGCTGAGGTCTGCGCGGAAGGCGCACGCTGATCCAAGCGATGATGCGAGGCACCAGGGGCAACTTCAAGATCCTCCAGGGAGAAGATACAGTGGCAATCGTTCACCGAGAGATGCAACAGCAAACCACCGGAGCAGAGGTGTGTATACATATCTGACTCGGGCGGAAGACATCCTTCCAGAGGTATGAGGCCGGCAAGCAGAAGTGTGATTGGACTGAGAACCGTGAAGCGAGGAATTCACGAAGGGAGTTGGCAGCGTGGCGCAACCAACACTTCCCGTAGTTCCCGTCACTGCCAATTCCGGGCAACAGCCCTTGCCCATGTCGCTGGCTTGTCTGTGCATGTGCCACCTACCTACCTACCTCCTACCTGCTGTCTGCCTACCTACCGACCTACATACCTACCTACCTACCTCCCTGCCTGCCTGCCTGCCTGCTTACCTACCTCCCTGCCTGCCTGCCTGCCTGCTTTCCTACCTACCTACCTACCTACCTACCTACCTACCTAGATACACACATACGTACATTGACATACATTTTTAGCACTCGCACTCGACCATACGTGCATACATCTGACAGATGGTCCACATCGTACATTCGTCCTGGGGATCAAGGGTACTCTAAGAAGCCATCCAAGGTATCCAACGAGGACATCAGCGTTCTTCGATACCTGGCAGCATGCCCCTGACTGAAAACAGCTCCAGATCTGCATTGGATTCACATGATTCCCTCTGAAAAACATCCAGTGGAGACAGGCCTGGGGAAAGCGAACGAAGCGCTCGATATACGGCAGAAGGTCATCCATAAATGGGAGGACATAGGGCAAGTGCCTGCAAGCACAAATCCAACGAACGCATTTCTACACTTGCCCCAGCCACTTTGAGCCAAGCGGCGGATGGGCGAGGGGCAGGTGTGGAGCCAGCTGATCGAGTCGCGGGATCAGGTAGTCCACATATGGCAGCAGCTTGGGGAGGTAAGAGTTCTCCTCTGTCATTCAGTTTGGATTCTTGCATGAGTTTTTTGGAACTTTGACTCGTGGTGCAATGCAGTCGTTCTCGCTCTAGGCATGCCAAGCGGTAGATTCCACCCCACAACATGCTCCTCGACGCGTGCTGCTGCAGAGCCTCTGCAGAAAGGTTGCTTTTCAGGCTTTGCAATTCGCACTTCACATCTGCTGATTGAAAGCTTCGCGACGAAGCAACCCTGCTTCGGGGGCCTTCCCAGTTGTCCACAAGGTTGTCCACGAGACACTCCTACGAAGTGCGATCAGCTCTGTCAACATGGAGTACATTAGCGGAGGCATCCTCCATCTTCGCAACTTGCGGCTCATCAAAGCATTGGTCCAAGTTTGGAAGATTCCGATCACGACCTGCAGCTCTTGGCATCAATCTCAGTGGCAGGAGGGACGTGGCATGACATGTGGCAGAAACACAAAGGATGAGAGAGGCACAAAACGACAAAGATGCACTTACAACGAAACATAGCTCGACGAGCGCTTGGCGCACCTAGTTCTGCATAGGGCATAAGCAAGTCGAAGTGGTCCAATAAAGGCCCGCAGTGCTTTGCCAGCACGTCCTGAGCTGCACGAAAGGGGACCTTGAGGGGTTTGCTGGCTATTTTCGTCTGGAGACTCTGCGTCTTCGTTCTGCCGCCGCCGGGTCAAAGCGTCCCAGGCAAGTGCCCACGCTCGCTTGCGCAATCAAGGAGCAGCGAATGTAAAGGCTCAAGTTGAGTGTCACCGGAGCTTCTTCCGTGCAACCCCTTTCTCTGCTGTTTGCTTTCGCAGCTCGCGAGACTCGAGACTGCCCGACTCTTGCAAGCCGCTTCAACTGCCACGCCTTGCGACGCTTGCAGAAGGGCTTCGTTGGGGCTGACAAATGTTGAAGGCACCTCCCCACGCTTCCGTCTCTTTTCCTCTCCTTGCAACTCTGTCTGCCTTCAGCCTCTCTGCGGCTCTCTGTTGTGTCATATTATCATACAACTCGTTGATTTTGATGTATTCTGTTAACTCACTTCAGGCTTGTAGATACAGTTCTGGATGCCTCAGGTGACTCGCTCGTGTTGCAGGGCGAGTTGCCAACGATGCAACTAGGTAACTAGGTGCCTTCAAGCTTCCAGGTGCAGCAGGATGTATGGCAAGTGCGGCTCGATCCGGTCCATTCTCTCCATAATTCGGTCTAAATGCCTCAGATGCTCTCAAGACAAGACTGGAGGAGCCGAATCTCGAGCTTAGATGCAGAGCAAGGTGCGGCTCCACGATGTCCAAGTACTGATCCAAAATTCGGACAATACCTTGGGGTTATGGGGATTCCGGGTATATCATATCGGGCATTCTTTCAGCTCCCGCACACTATGCCTTCAACCCAGATAGTCGCATGCTTCAATTCGCGCTCTTGCACACGGGTCGTGCCATGCCGATGAGCAGCCGGGCACATGAGGCCCAAGGATGGACAGCCTCGTGTAGATGGAGGGAAGATGGCTCACGATTGAAGTGGAATGCCTCAGGGCTTCATGTTCAGCAGACATGGAAGAAGTGGAAAGATTGATTCTGCTCTACTTTTTTGTAAATTCCGAACTTGCAAGTCGATTCTCTGGACTCAACAACCAGCCAGCCGAGTCTCGGAAGAATCTTCTTGGTCAGAGATGGCTCCACCACCTCAGTCACACTTAGCGCTTCATAGTTGCTTTGGGAGTTTGGGACTCAACCCACGCCTTTTACATCATTTCGCGATTCCCACGCACTCTAAAACGCAGTGCATCCTGGGAGCCAACCGGCTTCCAATGGAGAAGCCGGCCCGTGTCTGGTCAGCCAGGTAAGACCAGGGATCTGCAGCAGCCTCGGTCGGCCCCGGTATGACCATAAATACAGATTATGCATAGAGATGCAGGCGTTCTCGTAGGCGCGTATGTATGTATGTACGTATGACCGTCTGCATGCGTGTATTCTTGTGCATATGTGTATGTACGCACATGTACATGTACACATATTTCGACACCACTTGAGAGGGCACCTCAATGACTCAAGCCACCGCCTCCCCGACATTACCCAACTCTCTGAGTCCAGCAGCAGCGACCCGTTGGAGAAGGACTCGAATGGACTCGTTCGGCGCGCAGTCCTTTTGGCGTGTAGACGGATTCGCACATCCCAAACACTAGGCTCGGTGCCTCCTTACAAGAACCCCTTCGACGGGCACGTATCCCTCACTTGTTGGTTATCACCTCAAATGCTTGCCATGCGTGACCTAGCCAGGCTCCTGCAGCGATCGGAAGATTCTTCTTGTGGCATCCTTTGCATCTCTGGCCGTGTGCCCCGAGAGGACGAGATCCACACAAGGCCGAAAGGCAGACAAAAGGTTCGCATACCTCGGGTCATCAACATTCCGAAACCCGATTATTCTGCATGTATTTTTGGTGATGTTGTGGTATTATCATATTATCATATTAGTGTAGTATCGTATCACGTTATTATAACGTCCGACAGGCCAACGCAACCCAGCTGCAGTTCGATTTCGGCTAACTTGCCCGCATTGGACCGCCCTTCTTCTTCTAGCACCTGAACATCCACATGTTGCCGTCAGTTGGGGGAGTAGCAACACCGACAAGCTGCAACCCGCCTTGTACAGGCGACCTGCGTAAAGCATGTCGACCAGCGTGGAAACGGCGATGCCATTTTTTGCCTCCCGTCAGAACTGCCTTAGAGTGCTTCCCCTTTTAAAAAAACGATGCTAAAAGAGGCCCAGCCTTGCCACTCATCGCAGCAGCCAGGAGAGAAGGGCTTCGATGCACGAGCTCCAGGGCCTGACTTGCGGAGACCCTTCGCAGGCTGCCTGGGGGGGGCATTTTATGCGCCTTCTCCCTTGAGCTGATCGCAGCTAGGCGAGCCAAGACTTCCGAGACGGCATCGGACTCGACCTCGCCAAGAAGCTCGGGCAAGGAAACGCTGCCGGTTTTTCTGGGCACGAACGTCCTTGAATGCAAGCCGGTTGCTAAAAGAGGGGTCGCATCTGCCTCGATGATCTTCAAAGCCTGCATCCAGCGGGCACGACTGCGTTACGCCATGCCCGAATTTGCATGCAGCATCCAGCAACCTATCCGAAGGTCCGAAAGCATCATATGCTGCTGTTCCAACGTAAGCCACCAGGAAGTATGATTCCCTGAAGGCTTCTCAATGATAGCCTAAAAGGATCCGGATACCGAAAGAAAACTCGAAAGCATCCGCGCAGCGCCTGGTCTTCCGAGATACCCAAAGTCTGCACCAGGCGAGGCCATCGCTGCTTTACTTCTTCGAAGCCGAAGGGCTCACCCAGGAAATTGCTGTCTAAGACCTCAGGCCATCTTCCCAACGCCCACCGCCAAATGACGAAGAGCAGAAAGCACTGCATAACATAGGCTCTATATGTGTATAGTCTCTATATCTTCTCTCTCTCTCTCTACATATATATATATATATACACATATGTGTGTATACACACTGCATGTACTGCATTACATATGTCATGTCTACTATACTCTACATACATTGCACATTATAAAAAAAGTATGTATATGTAATGTCTACTATACTCTACATTGCACATTTTTTTAAAAAAAAGTATGTATATGTAATGTCTACTATACTCTACATTGCACATTATAAACAATATGTATACCATAAATCATAAGATTCCGCTTGCGGCCCGAGGCTCGGCCTCTGGATGCTGTCGAAGCACCGCCCGCCAGGCATTCTGCAAATGCACCGTGTGGTCCCTTGGCTCTTAGGTCTAGGTGGCTCCATACTCTAGGGCTTTTTTCCCAAGCATGGCTAAGGATCTATACTTTAGGGTTTAGAGTTTAGGGCCAGTTTAGGGTTTAGGCTGAAGGGAAACACCACACGACTTTACCAAAAGCTTGGGCATCTAGATAAGGCGTCCGCACAAGCGATCGCTTGGGCCGGGCGATGACACTTTGGATATCGTGATGTGTAGGCCGATGGTTGACCTCACACATACTGACACCTAAACCCTATGGCACACCCTGAAGCCCCAAAACCCAAAACCCTAAAGCCCCGGCATGAGGCATGAAAGCTGAACGCTAGAAGGCGTGGACTCTTTCCAACGCACCCTCTTTAGAGATACCCTAGACTGTGAACGTAAACCCTAAATCTCAACTACACCCACACTAAAGTCACCGAAGCTGGTGCCCAGTCGCTGATTCGACAGCTCCAGCTCAGCCTGCACCGGATTTCTCGGTTTTTGTCTGGGGAGGGGGGGGGGGGATGCTTGTACTCTCGAACACAGGTTCAGCCTACCGAGTTTATGGTGGGGTTCTGAACACTGTGTTCCAAAATCCGACCCGATGCTGGGGTCCTTCCCACACAAGACTTGCAGCAAAACAAACGTCGCAGCCCCGCTTGTGGCCGCTACTAAGATAAAACCACCTCACTGAGAACCCTAGGTCGAAAGAGGACCCCTAAACCCTAGGTCGAAAGAGGACCCCAGGCTGGAAGTGGGCGACCATACCTCCATTCCTTGGTGTCAAATGCTTCTTCATGGCGATTCTCGGCAGACCTTCGTGTTTACTTGCGTTCTGTCTGGCGGGGACGGTCCTCGCTGAGCTGGAATTTCAAGGGCTTTTCTTTCAGGGTTCTGTTGACAATCTCTTGTACTTGTCACTCTATTATATGTCTATATACATGTAATACAACCTTACATAAGTTACTTAATTTAATTTGCATCTAGATTCTAGAGAATACCTTGCAACGTCTTATGATATAGGAATTGTGGGCTCTGTGCTACACCATGGCATGGCGCACAGCCAGAGAAAACATCCTGGCCTTGCCATGACGAAACCGTGCAGTGGTTGTAAAGAACGAGAACGAAAGAAATCCGGCAGACTGGAGCAATCCAATAAGCTATAAGCTAGGACAGCTAGGAGGGTTTAGGGTTTAGTCGTGACAAGCTTTCCATCGCTGCCTCCTCAACTCTCCTCTGAGCAGCCGACCTGGGGAGCACACGAAGACTTGAACTCAACCCTCTGTTGGGGATGCCTTCAAACATTACCATGGAATGAAGATGTGCGGATACTCATGGGACGTTAGCTCGCACGACGCTTTCAAGCTCTGCACCTGGCAGCAATGGCAGCCACAGCGGCCACTGCAGATGCGGTAAGCACCTTGTCACGAATTGGGAGTTTCCGACTATTCGGGTACCTTATTTTGGTGTCCTTATAATAGGGAGCCTGCTATTTAGGGTACTATATTAGGGTCCCCAATTTTCGGAAACCCCCAACTGGCTCGAGTGGCACGGACCCTTCACGGAGACTTGCGGGCTCGGCGACAGCGATTACGACTTGAGTTCTCTTCGAACGCCTCTGCACATTGTCCGCGCGTCTAGCTCCCGCTGCTGTGCCCACACCGAAACCCTAGACCCCTAAGCCCTAGACCCTATAGACCTCTAAGCCCTAAACCCCTAACCCCAAAACCCCTAAACCCCTACACCCCGAAACCCCTCAACCCCTAGACCCCAAAGCCCCAAAGCCCTCGAGAGCTCCCTTTCTGCCGCCAAGGTCGCGGTCTCGGCCTCCAGGCCGGCTACGGTGACGGCAGCGGTTTCCGCTGTCGCTGCCAGGGGAGCCGATGCCTCACCGGTTTAGGATTTAGGGTTTCGACTCACACACTCGCACAAGGCTGGCATGGCTGATGAAGGATTTAGGGTTTAGGGGCTCCAGTTCCTAAGCCCTTGAAGCTGAAAAAAACGGCACCAGGAGCACGGGTGGTTCTAAAGCG